TAACTTTTCATTCCTCCTGGCAGCTTTTAAAGACTTATTTGACTTTGGGGAACCTGCAGTATATCTTTAAGGTACAGTTCAAAAGTATAAGGCAAGGTTGCTCATTTTCAATTTTGGCTGAGAAGTTTTAACTTTGACAGTGACACTTCAAAGTTAGGGGAAACTTGGTTTTAAAAAAATGGATGCTGATATGAGATGGCATATTTAATGACAGCTATATCTATGGAAAGCTGTTAAGATGCAGATTATCCCTCCTGGGGTGGGGGAGAGAGATCAAACTGCCAATCTATAAAATATACTCGATAGAAGAAGGCATGGAATCTGTCTTTTCGAGTGCTTTGATTGCAGGGGACAGTGCAGCAGCATGTGGCATCATAACCCAGAGCAGACAAATCAGCTTGATGACTTTCAAAGCCAGGAATACTGCTGCAGGCAAGGGTACTCCAGAGCGGGAGAAATTAAAACATATAGAGACTGTTATTAATTTCATATCTATTTTTGTATAGTCAAATCTGTATGCAAATCCTTAGCATCTCATTTTAGCAGATTAATCTAAAGTGAAGAGTGGTATGTGAAGGGAATGTGATGATGAAGCTCTTTGGAATAAATGTGGGCTGAAAACTTGGATGCTTCCTGTAAAATTTATTTTTTTTGTACTGTGAAGAAATGGATTTGTTTATATGCTCACTTGTAAATTACTTCAAAAGCAAAAGCAATAGAGGCAATCCCCCAGTTTGCAATCCCGACTTGGCAAAAGTTACAGCGCTAGTTTTTCAGGCACCTCTTCACATTCTAGAGGTAATCATGCATGTAAGTAACTGGGAATTTCATTTGTTATTCCCAACTAGTGACCCAATATCTCATTTCTAAACAGCTTCATATGAGTGAAAATTTTTGTGTAATGCTAAGACATCTAATTATTGAGTGCAGATTAATAAAATCATATTGCAGATGCATCTGTGTAAGTAAATAAACAACGATTCTGCACAGTAATTCTGAAGAGCATGGTAATCAGATGTGTCCCCCATGTAGCTGAGGGGGTGTGGTAGCTGCATTGTAATTCACCAACTGTACATTTAGTCCATGGTGGGCAGACTCTCATATATATAGTGCTGCAAATGTATTTAATATTGTCATAAAGTGGGGAGTTTACTGCAGTAGATCTTAATTCTGATCTATCATGGAGAGATACTTTCAAAGTTTCATAGTAAGAAGTGGGAGCTTGGCCTCCTGCTTGTTTTCAGTTGGAGAAATGATCAGAGGTGACCTGGACATTAATCTGGTAGTTATGGCCCCAATCACAAACATTGGCAATGGTTCTGACCTCGAGCTCATGTGTGATCTCAATGGATTCATTTATTCTTATGTGGTTATGCCAAAGGAGAATTCTTTAACATTCTCCTTTCAGCCAGAAGGAAGCAAGGGTCAGGGTCAGGAGTAAAAGAGAATACAGTTCTCTGTTTTGATGTACAAGTTGACTCTGTTGGGATTTCAATTTTGTGTTTCTTAAATGTGGTTTCTTTTCTTTTGGCTCCATTTTAGAAATGAGACATCCAATAAATCCAGAAAAAGCTTTTTGTTGAGAACAGGGATCTCCTTCTCTCTGCTCTCAGAGGATGAAGCTTTTGTTGACTGTAAAAGTGGTGCCTTACTTTGTATAACTAATATGTGCTTCAAATGATGATTGAAGGCTACAGAACTTAAAAAAAAATAACTCTCTAGTTAACACTAGCCATCATTCATGGAGGATCCAGCCCTTTTTCCATGCTTAGGGAAATGATTGACCTGGATCAGTGACCATCCTTTATGTATCTAGTAGTGTTAGTATTAACTGTTCTAAGTCAGTTCCATATTAATCCTCTGGATTCTGGTTCATTTCATTCTTGGTGATGGTAGAAACATATGCCAAGCATTTGGACTGCCAGAACATAAAACAAATTGGTAGGTGTTTTAAGACAGTCAAGAGATGGAGATGCATACGGGGCATCAGTTCTACAGCAACACCGGTTTTCCTCAGCACCAGAGTGAGCAAAGGAGGGTCTTTGGAAGAAGGGCTGCCCAGTGAATTCAGCAAGCACACACAGCTGAGCTGTTCTTCAATCTGCAACCTTTTCCCCCATAATTAGGCCATTAGAATTTACTAGTTGGTGCCCTTGTTCCTCTCCTAAGAACAGAGGACAAGGGCATCATTTTTCTCAATATTTCAAAGAGATCTAGGTCCTTAAAAAAGATATTCTTGTTTCATGAAAGTGGCAAGTGTCTTAAAATAAGTGACATTTCAAAGAGACAGAGAAAGTCATTACAGATATACCTAACCTAAAGTAAATGATTTTTAAGAAGCAAAGTTGGGGTGCTAGCATCTGAAAGCAGCTGAAGTTAAGAGAATGTTAAAGCCTATGTGGTCAGTCTTACAGCTATCTGTGTCTTCCAAACTGGAAAAACCCTATAGGAACACCTTTTCCAGCCAATCCAATTGTGGATCCATATTTAAGAACCTTTAAGAACCATGTCTTTCTGATTCTTACTAAGAATACCCTTTTATACCAATGCCTGGGTTTACTATGGGTGGTGTCTAGAAAGATAGGTTTTGAGTCCTCATAGGCCTATTGTCATATGGCTTAAAAATATCTCGTTTTTTTGTTTATGTGCTGCTCCTAAGAGTTTTCCCACCTAACAATAAAACTATAATGAAAAATGTACAGCACAAGCATGAAAGGGACATGTAAGAGCTGAGTGTCCCTTATCCCCAATGCTTGAGACTAGAAGTGTTGGGCCACATTCTGATTTCTAGATGTCCAGGTAGTTGTATATTTAGGATTGATGTCTTAGGGATGCCAACAACTTCTAAACATAAAATTCATTTAACCTTATACACAAAATCTGAAGATAATTTCATACCAATTTTTTTTTTTTTTTTTTTTTTTTTTTTTTTTGTGTTCCTGTGTTTTTACCATGGCATCTCCCTGAGGCCAGATGTGAGATTTTTCCACTTATGTCTGCATTCAGTTTGGAGATTTTTTTTTAGGCCTTAGAATTTTAGGTTAAGTATTTTTCACCTATGTGGGGACAGGTATGAAAAAAACAGTTAAAAGTATTGACTTTTGTACTTCCTAGTTAAGCAGAAAGTCTTCTCTCTTAGATAAAAGCACTGGAAAGGATTTTGTAGAAAGTTGACTAAAGTGGTTACACTGGAGAAATTTAGAGTGTGCTGTCCCATTTGGGAAGCATTAGGTACTAACTAGATCCACTTTTCACATTAAATGTTTGGAATGTGTTTCACTGTGCTGTATCAGATACACCCCGGATTTTGAAGATTTTGTATGGGGAAAAAAGTCCTCAGTAAATTTTATATGGATTTCATATTAGGATAATATTTCTAACAAATTGAAAATGTATTATTAAATATAATTTTTGTATTCATTTTTCACTGTGGCCCATTCACAGATTTTGTTATTATCTACTATACAGTACTGGCCCTAACTATCTTTTGATAGATAATGACTTTTGCTATATGTGGTATGTGGTCCAGTAGGAAGATATCACCTTGCTAATGCACAGAGCTTAGAGCTCTAATATTGCCAACTTGGCTAAGGACAGGAACAGTGTATGTAACTCTGTCTTTAGAATAGATTATGTAGAGAGAAATTTAATCTGTGTGTGCTGTATTCACCCACTCCTTTGCCCCTTTATCTGGCCATGCAGAGCAGCTTGTAATTAGAAACGACTCATTGCTTGCTCTCAAGCAGATTGTTACTGAAATGCTTCTGGAGGAGGAATCTGCTCCTTCTGCAATAAGTTTCTTTCATTTACTTATTCATCTCCCATACAATACATCCCAACTCCTCCCAGTCCCCTCCTCCACCCTCTACCATCCCCCAGATTTATGCCTATGTTTCCCTTAAGAAAGGAGTAGGCCTCCCAGGGATATCAACCAAAAACAGCATAGCATAACAAGTTACAGTAAGATTTAACACAAACCCTCATATCAAGGCTGGATGAGGCAACCCAATAGGAGAAAAAGGATCCCAAGTAATGGCAAAAAATTTAGAGACATCCCCACTTCCACTATTAGGAGTCCCACAAGAACACCAAGCTGTACAACCATAACATAGAGGACCTTGCTTAGACTCATGAAAGCTACTGCTAATTCAGTCTCTGTGAGTCCTATGAGCGAGCCCTGCTTAGTTGATTCTGTGGGCTGTGTTCTTGTAGTGCCTTTGATACCTCTGGCTCCTACAATTCTTACTCCTCCCTCTTCTGCAGGAGGTTTCTCAAGCTTACTACCAAATATTTGCCTGTGGGTTTCTGCATCTGCTCCAATCAGATGATGGATGAAGCCTCCCTGAGAACAATTGAACTAGGCTCTGGTCTATGAGTATAGCAGAATATCATTAAGAATCATTTCATTGACTTTTTTTTTCCTTGATGACTAGTTGTGTTTATTTTATCGTAAGGTTTTTTGTTTGTTTGTTTTTGGCTATCCAGTCTATGGCTCCTGGCCATCCAGGCGGTGTTGGATATGGGCCCCTTCTTGTGGTGTGGGCCTCAAGGTAGAGAGTTAGAGCAGTCATTGATTGGCCACTCCCACAAGCTCTGCACCACCATGGCCCCAGTGCATCTTTCAGGCAAGGCAGTGGTCAAAGGTTTTGTGTCTGGGTTGATGTCCCATTTCTTCTACTGGTAGTATTGCCTGGTTGCAGAAGATGGCCAGTTCAGGCTACATGTCTCCCATTACTAGGAGTCCTTGTTAGGGTCATCCTCATAAATTCCAGGGAGTTTCCACTGCATCAGGTTTCCACATCAGCCCCACATACCCCACCCAGTTCCAGTCACTTCTTCCCACACTCTCTCCTCCTACCCTGCTACCCCTATAATAAATGTTTTAATTATGTCATGGTTTCACTTTGATCACATGCAAAGATGCTCAGTGGTAGCTAATTGTCCTCTAGTGTAGCTCATACTTATTTTGGGAAGGTCTAATGTATGCTGCTCCATTACAGGCGGAGTCACTAACACGGCACAGTATCAGAACAGACTGATGGTTTATGAGCCCAACCAGGTAAGAACTTGACAAGAAGTCACCACCTCAGTTAAGATGCACTCACCAGAGCTTTCCACAGGAAGGATGGATTGGAATGTCACACACGTGCACCTTAAGCTCCATGCGGAAAAGAAAGCATGTAGGGGAATGCCTTAGGTTTCTCATTATTCCTGCAGAAGTTCAGCTCCTGTAGTTTCATGTTATATTGCATTCTGTAGAGAGGATTTTGATTGTAGCTATGTCCTTCTAGAAGGGATGTCATTTTGGGCAAGAAATATAGCAATCAATGGCCTTGTTATTCTCAAATCAAATAAAGTCATTTGACTACCATAGCCAACAGTGTTCTAGAATAGTACCTAGGACAAGCACAAATTAAAAGTGACTGAAAGAGTCTGGGAATGGTGTGCCTCTAACAAATGGGCCCTTTCTGTGCAATTTTGGTGCACACTTAATTCCTTCTCCCCTAAAATGAGACATGCTTTTATTTTTTTTTTCCTTCTACAAAAATATCTTCAAATGGACAAAATATGATGAATTTTGTCATTCCAATGAATTAGATATATTTATTGATTGTGACAGTATTCCAAAATGGTGTGACATGGAGGTTTAATACCCACCAGCTAGCAATCTCTGGATATGAAACAACAGGTTGACTTTAGCAGGCAGCCTCTGGTTAGGTACCACAAGTATGTGCATAGTGTCTGCTATGTTTTTAACAATGACTTGACTGAGGAAGGCATTTCTCTTTTTACAAGTGTGTTTCCTGAAGTTGTATATTGCAGAGACTGAACGTTCATCGGTCAGCTGTCTCAGGAGGGATCACTAATTGCAGAAGCCTGAGTTTGGTGCACACATGGTTAAGGAGGAAGACAGCATTAGCATTACTTAAATGAATTCCCTTTCATGTTTGTACACACATGCTCTTTTTTAAAAATTCTGCCGGCATATTGTTTACGGTGGGTACTGGCAAGCATCACATCTGCTTGCATCTTGCTTGGAATCTCAATAACTCTATCATTCAGCCCTGGTGCTTATTTCTCTTCTAGGCCTTTGTGGAGAGTCGATAATGCCTGCCATCTGCCACAGAGCACATCGCTACCTGCCAACAGGCAGGCTAGGGTGACCTCTGCTTTCCCACCACTGATTAGTATTCACACGCCAGCTTATTAGGAATGACCCCACCAGGCCTCTCTGCTTCTTTGCCTTTGCAGCGGGTGGCGGCTCACCTGGCAGGCACTGCAGTGAAGGAAGCTAAAGATATAATCAGGGGATGTAGGCAGGCTTTGCAAAGCAGATGGCATCTATAGTCTTGTGGCAGGGGACTGGACTGCTAATGCAAACACTGATTCCTAATACTGTAATAGGTTATCGCATAGACAGCACCCGAGATAAGCATCAGCAGAATTTTAAAATTCACTCAAGCATAATGCACTGAAAATATTTCTTAGCAAACTGTCTAAAATCTACCTTTGACTATTTATTAAAGACCGTATGTGATTGAGGAGATTCTGTGTTCAGAGGGATGAGACTGTAGAAGCCTCTCAAACCAAGCTTTTATTTTTTTTTCCTGCAGTTTACCCTGAGAAATTAGAAATGAGCAAATATATGCCCCCAACAATAAATGTCACAGTGTGTGCCTGTAGTGCATAGATGTCACAGTGTGTGTGCTTGTAGTGAACAGATGTCACAATGTATTCCTGTAGTGAATAAATGTTACAGTGTGCCTGTAGTGAATGGATATCACAGTGTGTGCCTGTAGTGAATAAACGTCACAGTGTGTGTGCCTATAGTGAATGGATGTCACAGTGTGTGCCTGTAGTGAATAAATGTCACAGTGTGTGCCTGTAGTGAATGGATGTCACAGTGTGTGCCTGTAGTGAATAAATGTCACGGTGTGTGCCTGTAGTGAATAAATGTCACGGTGTGTGCCTGTAGTGAATAAATGTCACGGTGTGTGCCTGTAGTGAATAAATGTCATGGTGTGTGCCTGTAGTGAATGGATGTCACAGTGTGTGCCTGTAGTGAATAAATGTCACGGTGTGTGCCTGTAGTGAATAAATGTCACAGTGTGTGCCTGTAGTGAATGGATGTCACAGTGTGTGCCTGTAGTGAATAAATGTCACGGTGTGTGCCTATAGTGAATAAATGTCACGGTGTGTGCCTGTAGTGAATGGATGTCACGGTGTGTGCCTGTAGTGAATGGATGTCACGGTGTGTGCCTGTAGTGAATAAATGTCACGGTGTGTGCCTGTAGTGAATGGATGTCACGGTGTGTGCCTGTAGTGAATAAATGTCACAGTGTGTACCTGTAGTGAATAAATGTCACGGTGTGTGCCTGTAGTGAATAAATGTCACGGTGTGTGCCTGTAGTGAATGGATGTCACGGTGTATACCTGTAGTGAATAAATGTCACAGTGTATGTGACTGCAGTGAATGGATGATACCTTGAGTGTGCCTATAGTGACAAGTGCCTATAGTGAATATGTCAGTGTTTATACATGCATATTTGTGCTTGTAGTCTGCTTTGCTTTTTTCTTTACAGCTTTGTGAACCAGTGAAATTCTGTGCATGGAAAACATCATATGATTTTTCTGGACCAAGTCCAATTTCATCCTGGCAAAAAAGGAAGTGAGGTTCTTCCTATATGTTGAGTGTTTTTGAGAAAACAAGTGGTTAGGTTTATTTATTGATCTATCAGGCAGCTTACTTGTCTGTCAATTGGTTAGTTGGGATTTAAATGTAAAGCCATGGTTGCTTCTTAGATAATTTTAAAATTTGTATTGCATTTTAAATAGGAGTCTTGTGTTAAGAGGGGCTGGTCTTAGAATTCTTATTATTGAGGGTGATCTAGAGCATATTAATGATGTCTCCATTCCTTAACATTGTCATATAAATCTTGGCCTCCTACCAATACCAATATAAATAATATGTTTAGACCTAGCTATTCTATTAGGAAAAGATACCATTTTAAAGTATGTGAAAGTGTGAGAGGGTTCAGATACAAAGGAAACAGTTTGTTACTGATCCAAATCTTAGCTTGTCCTCTGATCTTTGGTTAATTTTGGAAAGAAAGGTAAAGTTACCTTCACCCTAACTTATCTGGGATCTTGGTGACTCAATGTTTATATACTCCCCTCCTCCCACTTTTTATTGAAACATGATATCACTATGTAGCTCTGTCTGGCCTGAAATTCAGTACGTGCATAGACCAGCTAGGCTCTGAACTCAGAGAGCTCTGCCTGCCTCTACCTCCCAAGTGCTGGAATTAAAGGCATGTGCCACCACACACCACACTTGTCCTCAAGCCCTGTATTTTTAAAACAGTGAGCATGTACTAGGCATTTATTACACATGAGGCATTTTCTAAATCATAACTGGATGTCCTGCAGGTTTCATTGTCCCCATTGTGCAGATGAGGAGGAGAGTATGGGGCAGGGATTGCTTAAGACTGCACATGAATTTTGGCTTATATAATCTAGATCTAGAGGTTTTGATTATCACACTGTCTTCTCCACGGTACCTGGCCATGTGTTTAAAATTAAGTAATTTCCATGAGCTAAGTATCATGAAATTTTAAAATTGCATTATAAAATGAAAAATGCCTGATAAAATGCCAACTTACCAAATTTTATTTTTAAAATGTAGGCCACAAGATAGGATTATGTAGTTCTTTCTTGTTTTCATGTGGAAACTCATACCTTTCAACACATAAATAATATGCAAATAAGATGTGGTTGACATTAGTGTTGTTACTGCTAGTAGGGCACTATTTTTGTAAAGTTTTTTTAACCCAAATGCACCTGAAGGTTTGTTTTGTTTTGTTTTGTTTTCAGAATAAGTGGATAAGCCGAAGTCCCATGCTACAGAGAAGGGTCTATCACTCTATGGCTGCTGTTCAGAGGAAACTTTATGTTCTTGGAGGCAATGACCTAGACTACAATAACGACCGGATTCTTGTGCGCCATATAGACTCTTACAACATTGACACTGACCAGTGGACACGCTGTAATTTCAACTTGCTGACTGGCAAGTATCTCTGGTTAAGCAATCTAAAAACAAAGCTAGGGTCTGGAGAGATGACCGGGTTGTTGAGAGTACTAGTTTCTCTTCTATGTGAGCCAGGTTTGATACCCAGAACCGGTGTGGCAGCTCATAACTGTATGTAATTGGAGTCTCAGGGGATCTTAAGCCTCCTTTTGGCCCCCAAGGGTACCAGGAATGCATGTAGCAAGTACACAAATAGATACACAGACAAAGAAAAAACAGATAAAAATAAAATTAAAAATCAGAGTAGAGATTCTAGACTTGTTTCTTGGACCCTTAGAGTACATCTCTAAATGTTATGTGAACCGTGGGTCATGCAAACTGTTTTCTTTACCCAGGAAGACTTGCATGATTTATAGCTGCAGACCCAGATGGGGAATCCTTCAGGTTACTGGGAATTTAGTTTCTATTTTGCCTTTGTGTTCATTCTCAAATGACCAACAGAAGCTTATTAACTCGCTTTCCATCAATTGGTATTCATGTGAGAACTTTGATACTAGTAGGAGGGGGAAGGCACCAAAAGAGTTAATAGGGTCCATCTCTCCCTCCCCCCTTTTAAAGTCAGGGTCTCATGTACATCAGAAAGGCTTCCAAGAGCTGCTGGTCCTCCTTGCTCCCCTCCCTTTTACTGGGTTCCATCTGTGTCCCACCATGTCCAGTTTCCTGTATGCTAGGTAGACACTCTCCTGTCTAAGTCATATCCCCAGCCCCAACAAGTTCAACTTCTCAGTGCCTAAGTCCTCTTTTACTTCTTGGGAGATCAGGTGGGCTTCATTATTTGCTGTGTGTCGTATCTATGTGCAGTAAAGAAATTTTAGACTGTAGAGCAGCTTTGTGCCTTAGAGTCTCTCTGGCCACACATCCCTCCTTGTGTATCTCTGCAGAGCAATGGGGTATGTGGCACATACTCATCACAGACAGGGGTGGAGTGAGGGTAGTAACAGTGCACTTACCCTGACATCCTAGATGGAGCTAGAAACTCTCTCCACCAATAGCAGTATCCCTTGCAGGGCTGCTTTAGGTCAGGAAAATCACAAGCTGTGAGCGTAGTTCTTGAAGACATTTAATATGCATTTAATGGGCATTCAGTCACTCACAGATACTGCTTCAAGGCCACACTGAGAATACACCAGGAATTTACATGCTTTGTATCAAGCTCTCCCCTTTCTGCAAAATGATCTGTAGGCCTATTGTAAGTTCTGATCTCTCAGGTAGAATGGCATCTTAGATCCTAGATCCCTGGATCTGTGATTCTGCTTCCGACTTATTTATTACTCCAGTCAATCCGATGTCAGCCCATCAATAAAAGGAGGCTCTCACTCTCTGTTTGCCTGCAGGGAAGAATGTGTGGTAGTGAGTTATTCTGTCTCCTCTTTTGAGGTGGGAGGTAAATCCTTTCATCATTTTGGCGTGTCAGTATCTAGGGATTGTGTAGGCTGGTCTCAGCTTGGGAACTTTAATAGAATCTTAAAACTTGACTATGTAAAGGAAGAAGGCTAGCAACTTCATCTGTTTTCACCTGCCATTTGTCTTCGTTTGAGGAATGTGGTGGGGGCATGGCTGTTATGCCTTAGAGTTGCAGTTGGACTTTTTTAAAGTTAAGCTCTTGTCTATATTTGTTGGCACAAGTGCTATATGGAGCATAATGGATGTTTTACATATCTAAATTATCCCTAATTCCCACCACCATAAACTAATAGTATACAGAGTAATCTGGGATTATTGGTTCTACAAAGCTTACTATTACTATATGTAGTGCTACATTTTGTAAGGTGTTGGTTAAGAGATATTTTGGCCTGTCCTAACTAGACACACATTCACTCTTTGAGAAATAGTGGCTAATTCATTTTAGTTCTGGAGACAGTTATTAATTGCTGCAAAATTCCTGTGGGGTATCCAAATATGCCACAGGGGGAAATAGCATCCCTCAGTGGCAAAAGGGTTAATTAAAACATGTAAGAAATTGAGTGTTTTTTTTTTTTCTTTTTTTCCTTTTTATTCAATTCTCTTTACTTTAGGCCAGAATGAATCTGGAGTTGCTGTCCACAATGGGAGAATATATTTAGTTGGTGGATATTCAATTTGGACAAATGAGCCTCTGGCTTGTATCCAGGTGAGTGGTTGAAGTTCCTTTTGAAGTTGTGTAAGTGGTTCAGCAAGGTTATGTTTTGCAATTCAGCTGTAGGAGGAGATATTTAATGTACAAAGAGGCCCAAGGAAAACCTGCTTGTAACACAAAGTCCCTTTCTTTGTGTAGCTACTGAAGCCTGGATCCTATATTCTAGAAGTGATGCCTACTAAATGATCATTGAGACCTTTTAAAAAATTAAGGTGGGGGCAAACTTTAAGCCAACTTTGAAGTGTGCCAGAAATGGAGAAATTTTTTAATACTTACAAAGAAAAGAAACTTTGGCAATATCCACTTTGTACTCTAACCATTTTAAAGATGCCCCATCTTCATACATTTTGTATCTTACAATTTCTTTATTTTCATAATTGTCACCTGCAGATGAATTCTTCCTTCCTGGTTTCTAGCAATGGTGGCTTATGGATAGCCTGATGGGGGCAGTTGCTGCCCCCAAAGAATAGCTTCACAAGTGAACCAGGCAAGTTGGCCATGGCAGGATGACAGCTGGGTCTCTCAAAGAAGAAACACACACTTTGTTATATGTAGCTCCTAGTGTTCTTTGTAATTCTTACCCTTTTGCTTTTTCACATGTAAAATCTTGACATGCCTTAGCCCTGACTTATCTAACATTATATATATGTGTGTGTGTGTGTGTGTGTGTGTGTGTGTGTGTGTGTGTGTGTGTATGCTTTTTGAGATAGTTTCCCTTTGTACTAGCTTTGAAGCCTGTCCTGGCACTCGAACCAGGCTAGCCTCAAACTCACAGAGATGCGCCTGCCTCTGCCTCTAGGATTAAAGGTGTGCAACATCACCGCCTGGCACAATTCATATTTTTTAACCTAATCTTTGTGAGAAAATGTTTGAAAACTGTCTCAGTATTTTTAATGGTTGCAGAATGATTCTAAGCACCGCCACCACCACCACCATCACTAATACTATTGTTTTGAGAAAGTATACAGCCCTGGCTTGCCTAACTCACTATGTAGACCAAGGTGGCCTTAAACTCTAGAGATCTGCCTGTTGGCCACAGGAATGCTGGGATGAGAGGTGTGTACCATCACGCCTGCCAATTCCGAGTTTTTATTTTCAGTCATACCTCAAAGGGGATATTCCCATGTATCTCAGAAGGGGGTATGTGCTCGTTAAGGAACTTTTCCATGCTGTCTGCTTTAAGATTGCTAATGTCTACTTGCTGCATTATGTTAGCTATATCTCCTTTATTTTCACGCTATAGTTCATCTTTTCTCCTCTTGGTTTGTCTCACCACAGGTTTTCCTGGGGATCTTACACATTTCTGTTATCCACAGAGATCAAGTAGATATGAAAAGTGTGACTGCCATCTTTGGTTGAATAGACATAAGCTTTACAGTGAATAGCTAGAATTAATTTTTCTTAGGACCCAGGCAATGTTCATAAAATTCAGTCATGCTTTACATAAAGTTGAGGTGGGGGGATCTAAAAATTGTCTGTGGACCGCTAATACAATGCAAGTAAGTTTGAACTTAACAAAATTCAAAACTAAATTCTCCATAGCTGTAAATGATGAAACGTACTGCCATATAACTGACTTGAAAGTCATAATGAAACAAAGAGTCTTAGAAGGTTGGAATAATACAAACAGTATACAGCAAAATGTGGGACAAATGTAGCTTAACAAGCTAGGAAATGACTTTCAAAATAAACTCAAAGTAGAAGATAATAAAAATGAGAGCAAAATAATAATTAGGAAGCAATACTGGAGTAGGAAAATGTGAGCCCCCAAATCACCTGGAAATAACTAACAAGCAACACCTTCTCCCAAGGAGTGGCTTGTCTTCACCCAAGCATGCTTTTGTCAGTTTGCAGTCCTTTGGGTTTTCTTTCTCACTTTTCAGAACTGAGAAGACATTGGGTTGGGCAGAAGTATTCCATGGTGCCAGAATGCTGTGTTGTAAGTGGCCTACAAGACTTGATTAGATTATTTTTACAGTGGATTAACTTTGCATAGTCAAGATGTATTTATAAGTATATTTCTACTAACATTAATGTTGGATTTTTTCTAGGAATAAGAGATAAATTAAAACTCTAAGAGAAAAATAAGAAGCACTTTCAACATGTCAGTTTTAGGAGAATAAAATGTGGTAATACTTCACAACTTTTTCAAGTCTTCTGTTTTAGCAACTTAATGTGTAAGACAGAACATTTTAAAAACAAAACAAAAAAAGAAAATACTTCATAGTGATATAATTTGTCTTATTCCCAGATAGTTTTACCTGAAGTGGCTCACTTACCTTGTACAGTAAACTTTTCAAAACTTTTTATTTATTTATTTGTGTGCATGGTGTTTTGCCTGCATGTGTCTGGGCACGACACCCATGCTGTCCCAACAGAGGCCAGAAGAGGGCATCATATCCCCCCTGGGAATCAACCTGGGGGGTTGAGCAGGAAGAGCTCTTGAAGTCATCAGGAAGCCATCTCTCCATCCTGCTTATCCACTGAGTCATTATTAGTAATACCTGGTTGTTCCCATACAAACTTCATTCAAGAATGAAGGTGTGCAAGTATATTTTAAATTACTAGGACATGACATTCAAATTTCCTCAGTAATAAGGTAATATTAAAAGAACAGATATTTCAATTTTTTAATAAGTGCTTGTGTTAATGGAATACATTTCACTTTTAAGATCACATAATGCAATAAATTAGTACAGTCCCTTAAAAACAAATACAGGCAATTCTGTATTTCAGTAGCCATACTGATAAACAGAATCTAGTCTCCAGGCAACTCAGTCTATCCATGTGGCTATTACACTGTTTATACAAAGTATTAGAAAAACTTGAGAGAAAAGCTTTTCTCTTTAATATTTTTTATATTTATATATGTATTTTGTAGGCACATTCTCTTGGTACCCATGGTGTATGTGTGGAAGTTAGATGACAACCTACAGAGTTGATTCTCATTTACCACAGGATTCTGGCTTGGCTACCATCTCACTGGTCCTACTTTCATTTCTCACATCATTGTGTGTCTGTGTGGTGTGGATGTGCATACGTACACATGTTCCCATGTGTATATGCACATACATGTATGTATGAGTACACTTGCATGGAGACCTATAGTTGCATTCAGGTGTCTTCCTCCGTTATATTTGACTTTCTTTATTGAGACATGGTCTCTCACTGAACTTGGCACTCCAATTATGACTACTCTAGCCAGCAAACAAGCTTGTGCATGGATCCTGTCTCTGCCTCCCAAGTATGGGAATTACAACTGGCTCCACACCAGTTTGAATTTTACATGGGTTCTGGAGATCTGCACTTTGATCTTCATGCTTACATGGTAAGCCCCTCTATCCACTGAGCCATGTCTCCAGCCCAATAGACTTTTATAAGAGCTCCCTCACAATTAATAGATGTGTCCATATCAGCATCTAGTTTATCACTTAGATGTTTGTAAACAAAGCCTTCATCAATAATAGCATTTAAAAATATTTTTAAATTATGTGCATGTATGTATGTGTATGTGTCTCTGAACATGTAGGTGCATATGTTCACAGAAGCTAGAGGCATTGGTCCATCTGGATCTGGAATTACAGATAGTTATAAGTTCCCCAATATGGGTGCTGGGAACTGAACTTTGGTCTTCTGCAAGAATAATGTACATTCGTAACTTCTGAGCCATCTGTCCAGCCCAATGCTAGCTTTCTATATCATATATCTTGCATTCCTACTATTGGCAACAAATTGCTGGGTATCTTCTCATCTTAATGAAGGTTCAAATATTTCTGCTTTGCTACTGACTGTAGATCTATTTATTTTCATGTATCAATGGTAACATATAACATATCAGTGGATGGAAAGACCAAGGAAGTGTTTAAAAGGAGGTCACTACCTTAGTATTATTAGTACCTGCTTCAAAAATAACCTATAGAGAAGCAAGACATTGGAAGACAGGAATGGTGACCATGAGAAAATGTTGGTTAAACACTTTAAGTTCCTAATTATAGAACATGTTGAAAATTACAGAGTGGTAGTGACAGTCACATACTCTAAAACTATCAAGGTTTAATTTTTTGTCACAAACCTCAATAATTCATAATCAAAGATTAACTTATAAACCAGGAGGACTGCTTAGTGAAGATTGTAGTTAAATAGTTCAGAGATTATCTCACTAATACCCAGAACTAATTTTTTTCCTTTAAAAATACCAGCCAATACTATTGTCTCAGCAGACTGTCCTCTGACCTCTAATTCAGGTTCATTTCACAGTCATTTGTGGGGTTAGCCACCTGGGTTGACATACCTGAGAAGCCATTTCAACTACTAGCAAGTTAGCATATGCTACTCCATTCTCTGTAAGGACAGTGCGGGCAGAGGGAAGCTGAGAGGCTTACATTAGTATTTGTCTAAATATTCAGGTTGAGAAGCACATGTAATACAATTACTGGATATAGACCCCGCAAAATACAAAAGTGAAGGCCCTCTATTAATCTTGGGCATGAGGGTGGGTATCTGGCATGCAGCCTGGCTCTAATCTGTGTGCCTAGGGTGACTAGTACATACGGACAGCTGTGAGGGTGCAGGTGATTCGTCTGTTTCCAGATTATTCTACTGTTGTGCTCCTCTACACTCACTTCCTTGTGTCTGGGGGACATGTTGTGCACCTGGCACTGCGGTTTCCCACATGTCTTCTTTCTGCCAGTTTACAGGGGGCATGCTTTGGAGAAAATCTGCCAAAAAGCTTCCCTTTTCCTCCCCAGATTAAATGCATTACGCAAGCTTAACACATGCAGTTGCTGTTGGCCCAGGGAAGCACTAGAAGCTCTCGGAGTGATTACCTCACTGCTATTTCCACTTCTAAAAATGTATTCATGTGGGGGAAAGCAGTAAGTCATTCCTCTTCTGGGTTACATCCCTGGGTTAAAATATTGGCTAGATCCACAATGTACAGCCAAGTTACCTTGAGAAAAAAGTCCCTTTTTTTCTTCTCTGTAAATTGAAGGCAGTACTTAACCTTGTATGTTTTTTGATAAATATTTGGCAAGAAGGAACCATAAAGGGAATGAGCCACTCAAGAACAGCACAGGTGCTATTCAGGAAAAGGCCTACAGATGGCACCCTAGAGTAAGAACCAGAGCCAGCAATGATCTTCCAGGCTGGGCTAGTTGAAGGGCACAAAAGGGAAAGAGGACTGAATGGTTCCATGTTCAGCCTGTGCTGTCTTAAAGGGGTTTGGGTGACAAATACCTCTCTGGTAGCCAGCTATTTCCATAAGTCAGGGAGCATCATCATGAATTGGCACTGTTTAATCCAAATGGTAGAATGTCACAAAACCATGTGGCTATAGTTAACATTTTAGAGATAGGCAAAAAAAAAAAAAAAAAAAAAAAAAAAAAAAAAAGGAGGCATAATTGTTGCTCTTGCTACTCAATGCTAGACAAGGGCCTCACTGAGCAGAGGCTTTTGAGGCAATCTTTGGTATCAGAAATTTTGGAGGATGCTGTTGACATATCTTTTGGTGGTGTCCTTGATAGAGAAGTTCAGTTCCTTGGATACAAACTAGAATAGGAAACTGAGAAGGCAGGGCCCAGAGACTACCAGGAAGAGGGACAAGCCAGCCAGGGCAGCCAGCATCCCAGACTGGGTACTGTCCCCTAGAGCTGGAATGTCAGCAGAGCTCAGGTGCTCAGGGTCGGGGGTCTTTGGCTGCATATCAGACCACTCCAGAGGAAGAGAGGTTCCTCCTTTCATGGCAATAAGGAGGTTCAGAATGCTGCAGTTGTAGAGGACACCCACAAATAAATCTATTTGTTTTAATAGGATTGTAATTGTTGCTCACATCTCCTATTCCTGAGGAGATGAGATCAAAAGTCTGCTCACTCCACCCAGGGAACTAATGACCAAAGTATGGCTAACATCCACATCAAACTTGGTGAACCAATGAGTTTTATCGGGGTTACTTACAGGGATGTGGGTGAGGGGTTACTTTCAGGAGCAGAAATGACCAATGCCTACCTCACATGGGCAACAGCTCCCAAAAGCTGGGAACCTAGAGCTCACTGCACAGCCTTCAGGTACCTCAGTAGGTTGGCTAATATCCTTTTCTAGCATCTCTGCTGGTCTGCGACTCTTCTAGGCAGTTTGGCTGGTGAGTCTCTTCCAGGCTGCTGGGTCTGAGTCTCTCAGTAGCTCAGCTTGTGGGGGCATCTCTGAATCTTGGCTTGTCTGAGAGGGACTCCCAACAGTCTTTGTCATTTCTATACCCTGGCCTGGGGGAGGGAGAGGACCAATGGATCAGGTCAGTTTCAGGGACTCCCTGGAGTCTTTTGGTGTTGATTACTTCCTGTTTTAAGGAGCTTCCCTTCAGGATGGAAGTGTTTCACCTCCTCACAGAACATCCCATTGTGGCATCTCCATGTATGCATTCCGTTGTTTTACTTCCCTTTTGCATCCTATGCTTGAAGAAGTTTGCCTCCAAGATGGAAGGCTTTATCCCTGGAGGAAACTATTTTCATCTAGGCCATCTGAAATCCTTAAAAAGCTGTTGGAAACAGGCTGGAAGAGGGCATGCCAGCTATGTTTGTATTGATGGCAGGAAAAAATAACCAAGCCTTCAAGGAGAGGGAGTAGGTGAGGGGATCCCTCAGGATGAGCAGTTGAAACCGACAAGGACACTGAAGCAAAAAGGGTAACGATCATGGTTTGGTTATTGGGAAGTTCATATTTTCATATAATCAGTTGTCTAAGACCTGGAGGTACCTCAGCATTCTGGGGGTAAGGGGTAGAACCAAAGGAATTGAGACAACAGAGGTATGAGAAGGTATTTTTTTTGTTGTTGTTTTGTTTGTTTGTTCTTTTTCATCAACTTGACACAAGCTAGAAGAAGGAACCTCCACTGAGGAAATACCTCTGTAAGATTGTTCTGTAGGCAAGCCCATTGGGTGTTTGCTTAATTAGCAAGTGATGTGGGAGGGCCCGGGCCATGCTGGGTGGTTCCACCCCTGGGCTAGCGGTTCTCCTGTATATAAAAAAGCAGGTCAAACAAGCCAGCAAGCAGCATTCCTCCGTGACTGGTACTTCAGTTCACTGGTCCAACTTCTCTCAGTGATGGAGTCTCACCTGAGAGTTGTAGCTGAAATCAACCCTTTCCTCCCCAGGTTGCTTTTGGTCATGGTGTATTACCCCAGCAGTAGAAACCCATTTGTTACAGGTGCAGAAGATACTGGTGTGACAGACCTGACTGGGTGTTTTCAGGAGAAATGTGCTGTTTGAACTTAGGGCTGGAAAAGACTTAGAGAGATGTTGTGGGAGATAAAAGGATAAGCCTGAGAGCAGTGTAGACGATGGAGGCCTGGCTTGTGAAGTTACAGAGGGAAGTTCATGAGTCCCTTAAAGATACGTTGAGTTAAGAATCCATGGTTCTGGTCAGCTGGGGGATGAAGATTAACAAAAGACCAGAACCAGGAAACTGAGCCTTTGCTTTTGGGGGACAACTGATTCTGCTTAGCTGGAGCTGAGGAATTAATGCTGATTCAAAGAGACAGCAGCTTCAGTACCACCAAGGTGATGTCTTCTGAGTATTTCCTCAGAATCAGCAAACAGAAGCTGTGGTCTAGAGCAGGGAGGTGGGAGGCTTACCGTATACTGGTAGCTGAACTTAGTAATGTATAAAAGTTCCTCAGCTGGCACTGGTTTTGAAGGCATGAAGGGGTCACTGAGAGCAGCTGAGGTTTTGCTTGTGAGAGGCCAGGATAGGACATTGGTGAAGTTGCAGCCTCAGCTGCAGTAGAAGCCCCAGGAAAGGGATAGACAGCGAGACCTGGCAGAGTCAGGGTCCCTTAAGAGAGCACAAAAAAGGCTACAGCCCAGTTGCAGTAGAAACACCAGCACTTTGGAGATGCTAAGGACAGCAGCAACTGTAGGATGGATCCAGCCTGAGCCCACGAGACAAGCTGTGTGTGCTGCAACTATCAGAGCTAGAGAAATGGAGACATTTAGAGCCCAGAATATTTGGAGTCCCAGATGACGAACATTAAGCTATTTACACTGCTGGACTTTGGTCTTGCTATGATTTGAATGTGACTGCACCCTGGTCCTTCCCTCTTGGACTAAGAAAATGTTTGGTTTGTGTTTTGATTTTACAGGAGCCCAGTTTACAAACTTTAGATATTTTCATCAGCTACTAGATGAGGGCTTTATGATGGTGGATAAGTTAGCAGACACCCACAGCTAAACACTGAGCCAAACTGGAATCCAGATGCAGAGAGGGAGGACAAGAGCAGGCTGCAGAAACACATAGAGACAGCTGTCCTGAACAAGGAGGAGCCAGTGGGCCCCCAGACTGATAGCTGGGAGTCCAGCATTGGATCAACTCAGACCCCCTGAACATGGGTCTCAGTTAGAAGGCCTGGGCAGTCTAAGGGACCTCTGACAGTGGAACCAGGATGTATCCCTGGTGCACAAAAGGACTTCGGGAGCAAATTCCCCATGGAGGGATACTGCCTTAATCTAGAAGCAGGAGGGAGGGCCTAATCCCTACTCCAAATGACTTGACAGATTTTGATGACCCCTCCTGGAAGACATCAACCTACCTGTGTGTGTGGGGGGGGGATGGGATGGGAGGGTGGAAGAGAGGGAGGGAGAGAGAGGGAACTGGGATCAGTATGTAAAATAAGAAAGAAAAAAGAAGAAAGAAACTTTGGATGTTTTAAAGAGGCTTTGAACTGTGAGATTTTTTTTTTTTATAAAGAGACTGAGCTTTTAGAATTCATTTATTTATTTTACATGCTGATCGAAGCCGCTGCCTATCCTGTATCCTTCTCCTACTCCCTTTTCTCATTCCCCCTCACACACTCCAATCCCCTTTTCTTCCATCTCTGTGCAGGAAAGGGCAGGTTTCCTATGAGTAACAGTGAAACATGGCATATCAAGTTGCAGTAAGACTAAGCACCTCCCCATGTATTAAGGCTGGGCAAAGCAACTCAATATGAGGAGTAGGATCCTACAGCCAGTAAAGAGTCAGAGACAGCCCATTCCCATTGTTAAGAGTCCCAAAAGAGAAACAGATTACACAACTGTAACACATATGCTGAGTGCCTAGGTCAGTCCCAGGAAGGCTGCCTGGTTGTTGGTTCAGTCTCTGTGAGCCCCTGTGAACCCAGGTTAGTTGACTGTGTGAGCCTTCCTGTGGTGTCCTTGACCCCCTGGCTTCTACTCTCCTTTCCCCAACTCAGTAAGTATTTGGCTGAGGGTGGATGATTAAATTGGGCCAGGTACTAATCTGGTCACAGGAGATGGCCAGTTCAGGCTACTTATCCACTATTGCTAGGAGTCTAAGCTGGGGTTCTCCCCATAGACTCCTGGGAGATCACCCTGTGCCAGGCTTCCACCCGACCAAAATGCATACTCAGTGGGCCCCCTCACCATCCCCTGTACCCCCCAACGTGATCGCTCATCTTCCCATCCCCTACCTGCAGTCCACTCACAAAATCTATCTTCTGTTTCCCCTTCCCATGGAGAATCTGGGTGTCCCCCCCATGAACTATCCTTGTTATCTAGAGACTAAACTTTTAGAGTGTTTGAATTTTTAAAGACAAGTTTGGAATATGTTTTACATTGAAATGCTGGTATTAACATGCACTCTTGTGAATGAACAACACAGTAATATAGTTAAATAGTGCTATGCTTGTATGTCAGCTTGAAATGGGAAGGGATCAAGTTTTTTTTTTGGTTTGTTTTTTGTTTTGTTTTCTTTTCTTTTTCTGTCAACATGACACAAGCTAAAAGTTATCTTAGAAGATGACCCACAATTGAGAAACTATCTCCCTAAGACTTGTCTGTAGAGAATCCTGTGAGGCATATTGGTCATGATTGCTTTTGCAGGGACAGAAAAGTAACTAAAATACACAGTGAGAGCAGTGATGGCACAGGGGCTGCCTTTGCTCATGCATATGTGTTTGGAGTAACCCTGCCCTCTTTTGGTGTAGGTATTGGATGTCAGCAGAGAAGGTAAAGAGGAGGTGTTCTATGGACCTACCCTTCCGTTTGCTTCCAATGGGATAGCAGCATGCTTCCTCCCGGCTCCGTATTTCACGTGCCCGAATCTTCAGACTCTTCAGGTGCCTCACCACAGGATCGGCACTATCTGAAAAGCCAGCAGTCTGTTTAACAGCATTAGCAGGAGCCCGGATGAGAGCTTGGCATCTGGGTACAGGGCAGGAACCTCTTCAGTGCTTACCCCGTCGTGTTTTACAGGACTAAATTTCTGATAAATTCTAGAAAAAAAAAAAAAAAAGAATTTTCTAAAACATGCTGTCGAGAATTCGTCACTTCTTTTCGGTATATGTTAACACACAACATGTGTAACTTTTGTTGCGGTGCACCTTAATGCCATCCATCCTACTGGCACACTATTGTTTCGTGGGCCTTTAAAACATTCCTTGTGCCCTGTCTAATCAGCGCCATCCAGGATCACGTGACACTGTTAGTAACATACCTTTCACAGGTGGCATCAGTTTTCTCATAACCTCCTACTTCTGCCTTTTACCACTGGAACATCAGTGTCATTTTTCAAAGATTGGCATTCCCCAGAAGAGGGTTAGCATCATGGGCTCCAAGTGCCATACTTTATTCCAAGTGATAGGTGCAGGGCTTGGAAGAGTTAGAGTTCCAACCCCGCTTTACTCTGACCTCGTGTCAGAATTTTACAAGGCTTAGGTTTCTCCCCCTTGAAAGAGGATCATTTCTAATTTCCACATGAACTGAAAAGAATGTTCGGAGAATTAGGCTAATGCTCAGAACCTTGCCTCAGAAAACAAAGTTACTCAAATTCTAAAGTGTTTTTGTGTCTTTAGAACCACCCTGTAACCGAACCACATCCTGTGGGATAGAGTCTGAAAATAGCACAAAGACACTGTACCTATCCTGTCTAGGAACACCAAAGATCCCTAAACTTGTACTGATTCTTGCCTGAAAGAATTCTCTTAAATGCTCATCATAAGATTTACAAAGTTAGCTTATACTAACCCTGGCACCATAGAAGTCTGTGACATAAGTATGAACTGAGAGATGGCAGTTTCCAAACTATTAAAAGCTGCATCAACCTTGAGTATTTGAGATGTTTTCTGCCACTGCCGACACATTTTTTTTTTTTTTTATTACTACCACTTTGAATAATGCACAGTTCTTTTTTGGTCTAGATTTTTTAGTTTGCTTTATCTACGACTAAAAATAAAACAAATCATCGTAACACTCACACTTTAACATAAATGCAACATGTTTGTTTTTTCTAATCTTGCCGAGACTTAAGGTCATTTTTATTAAAAGGCTGCTCAGTCATTTAAGAAGGGCTTAGGCCAAAGAAATTGTCTGTTTTACTCATGTAACCACTTTTGTTTTTAATCATCATAAGTAATTGAAAAAGTAACCCTTTTCTTTTTGTTCAGGGTGGCTTTGATTGGCTCTGTGGTTATGCTGGCCTCCAACTCATGATCCACCCAAATAAAATAATCTGTTTACATTAGCAAATTCACTAACTTTAAGCGTTGTTGTAAGATAACTAAAGCACAGTTCTAAAAACATAGATGATCTGGTCACTGGGTTAAAGGACAGGAAGTGACAGAAAGGGTGAAGAGGAAAGGAAACAAACAACTCCAGACAGAGCAGGGACAGTTGGTCCAGAGAGATGGTGAGAACACTTCTAAAAGCTGCCAATGAGCCTTCAGAAATGAAAGTACAAGTTCTGTGAGGAAAGTATGTTTCCACCCTGCTGAATTCTTGTAACACAGACCCAAATAACAAGTGTATCAGACTTGCTGACCTTTCTAGTTGATGTATCAATCTTCTCTCTAGCAGTTTTGCCTTGTAAAACCATTAAATAAATAATGCTGTAATAAATAAACAAACAAACAAACAAAAAAAAATAGTTATATTCCCAGGGCCTAAACCCTGAATGAAAGGAAATGGCTTAAAAATGAACTTGCCCAACTGAAAACCTTAGACTTTGTGTATTTATTTCTAACCATTCACAGAAGCCAGCATAAATACCAATTTCTCTTTGATGGCCTTCATGGTACACTTTTTGCAGAGTGTTGACTTATTCTTCATATCTACAGTCAAAGAATGGCATCAAAACTAACACATTCCTTTACTAAGAAGAAAAAGGAATGAGATTGTACAATTGGATCCCTTTCCTAAAAATTATCTGCAATGAGGAAAAAAAAAATCTGTGAAATTAAATTTGGCATATATTATGAGCAAATCCCATCCAAAATACTCAACTATATACCTAGGTACTATTCAAGTATAGCATCGAATAGTAATTTATCTTCTATTTTCAATCCTCCAAATTAGAGGCAGTATTTTACCAAAAGACTTTGAAGCATAAACATCACTTGAGGATTTTACTTTAAAACATAAAACAAGACGTTTCAACAATTATTCTTTTGTGAAAGGAAAAGCTAGTAAAGACATGGCTATCTACAATGTAAGATGCAATAAACACCCTAATCATTAAAAATAAAGCTCCAACTAAATTGTAATTATGGCACCTTTGTACCTTCTTGTATTGCGGGTTACCCTGCTTGAACACCCCTTGGGGGAGGGGATGAGAAGACACAGCACTAATGACTCAGGCATGGGGAGTCAGTGAGTAGCAGAGCATGCTGCAGACTAGTTTATTAAGGAAGTTAGACCTGCCTTATACCCCCTCTCGAGGTCCCATTGGCTCAGGCAGCTGACTCTGCTGCTTTGTCCTTTCCTCATTGGTGTCTCTCTGTCAGCAGTCTCTGGGTGTAGAGGCAGGCTTGGCTCAGGGAGGAAGTGCCTCCTCATGCAGGCTGGCCTGGGCATCTGTGGTTTGGGTAGGCTGGTTTCAGTTTCTCCTACATTCTTGTTTTCTTTACACCTAAAATACTTGTGTAGCATCCCCTTCAGCTATTGCAAAAGTGGAATGGAAACCTTCAATTGTTTGTCCACAAATTGTAAATGCAATATGAACAAAATGGATACTGTTTCTCTATGTAACATGGCTCATCTTTATTCCCAATGTATAATCACTGACACAATGTAAGTCAAATGCATACATTAAAATTTATATACCTGTCTTACACCTTTATCATATGGAAACAACCTATAAACTACATGTAAAATAATATCTGTAGTATCTAATAAACTGGGTAACTACCAGCACAATAAAGTTCTAAGTAAGGACTGGGGATGTATCCTGGTTGGTAGGGTAAACATCTGGCTTGCAGGAAGCCTGGGGTTCTGTCTACTGTACTGCAGCTGTGGGGGCTCATGCTTTTCATCCCACTTTGCTTGTGAAGTAGAAGTCAGAGGATCAAATTCAAGGTTACTCTTGGCTATCAAGAGACTCCAAAGAAGCTAGCCTGAAACAGATTCTGACCCTGTCTTTGACAAATAGACACATAAATAAAATAATAAATTGGTCAGTTATAATCATGTGGTACCTAATTAAGTAAGCTCACCATACAGGTGATTACAGAGAAGACACAACTCTTGTCTTTAATGGACAGAGAAAAGAATGTGCTATTTTGCTAGAATCCTAGACTGTTTTAACAAAATAAAAGACATAGTTTTTACTGGCATTTTACACTCTTGCTTGACTAGGCAATACATTTGATTCTAAGAAGGGTAGGTATTTGGTTTTGCTCAGTGTAGAAGATGTAGGGTGTAGAGCAAGCAGATTTCCTCAAGGGTTTCCCAAAATACAGAAACATCAATATTTTTAAAAGAAAAAAAAATCTTATTTATTTATTTATTTATTTATTTATTTATTAAGTATACAATGTTCAGTCTGCATGTATTCCTGCAGGCCAGAAGAGGCCACCAGATCTTTTTTTTTTTTTTTTTTTTTTTTTTTTTTTTTTTTGCATATAGAGTATTTTTTATTTAATTTTATATAACAAAGTCCAATTAAATGAAAACAAACATTTATACACAATATTTGGGAATTTGGGCGTCGTTCTTTCCAAACTACTTCCTGCTGGTAAGGGGCGCTGTCTTGGGGGATTCGAAGAAGATTCAGATATCCTAGCTGTAGTCTGTAGGGCTGTTTTGTCCAGCTGTTTGGAATGTAGGATCAGCTTGTACTCTGTTTCAGGCGGTCTGGTGTGATCAAACCACATTAGTCTGGAAGGAATCCACATCTTTTCATTTTCTGTGGAAACAAAAATAGAAATACTTTTCCCCAGTAACTTGTTCTTCAACTTAAATTTTGGAGTCAAAGCGTGTTTTTTTTTTTTTTTTTTTTTTTTTTTTTTTTATTATTATTTTACATGTCGATCCCAGTTCCCTCTCCCTCCCTCCCTCCCTCCCCCCAAGCCCTCCCTCCCTCCTTCCCTCCCTTTTGCCCTCTCTACCCTCTCCCATGCACTCTAAACACCCTCCCCTCCCAACCCCCCACCACAATACAATATGTAGGGGAATGCCATCCAGTTGGGGTCATGTAGATCTGACAGGTCCTGTGAAGTAGGGACTAGGGCTTCTCTCCTATCTCTAGAATAAGGCAGTTATCCCTCCATGGGGGATATGTTTGCAAAGTCCTTTTGTGCACCAGGGATACATCCTGGCTCCACTGTCTGAGGTCTCTTAGACTGCTCAGACCTTCTGGCTGAGACCCATATTCAGGGGAGTCCGAGTCAGACCTCTGTTGGCTTCCCAGCTATCAGTCTAGTGGCCCTTAGCTCCTCCTTGTTCAGGTAAGCTGTCTCTATGTACTTCTACCGCATGGTCTTGTCCTCTCCATCTGCTTCTGGGTTCTAGTTTGACTCAGTGTTTATGTATGGGTGTTTGCTCCTGTTTTCAACGGGCATTAGTTGAGGACTCCATGTAGAAGTTAGTTGTTGATCTCACTCTCCGGGAAGGGCATTTATGATAGCCTTTCCACGGAAGCTGAGATTGTTAGTTGGGAGCAGTCTTGTAGTTCCCTCGACCTTTCTTTGTGTTCAACTTTATCTTCAAACCAATATTGGCTCCCTCTTTTATGTTCTCTCTCTCTGTCTCTGTCTCTCTCTCTCTTTCCTATTTTCCATTCCTAACCAGGCTCAATCCTCCTAGTCACACATGCCTTCCTCTCCTCCCTCTCATTTTCTCCTACTTCTCTCTCCATTAGCTGTCCTCCCCCACTATACCTGAGGTCTGGGGGACTTGTCCCTTCCGAGTTCTGTGAGGGACTTTATATGAATCTCTTAGAATACA